TGAATGTAACTATTGTATACCTAGATTGTACCAATAAATTCAATAAAAAGAAAAAATAAATAAATTATTTTAGCACATAATACTATAAATGTCCCTCTCTCTGAAAGAAGTACACAAAATTGAATTGTATAAACACATGTTTCTTTAACTCATTTTTCCCTTTGAATGTATTCTTGGCCATTTTTCATATTTGTATATAGACAGCTACCTCATTCTTTTTAGCATGCGTATCCCATATGCCACCCAAAATTAGAAAATTCAGTGAGACTGATTTTCTGGTAGACTATGCAACATTTCATACTTAACTGACTTGTTAATGTGAAGATACAAGTATAGTAGTTTATTTCTGTTGCTTTGGAGTTGATGAGTATATATTATCACTAGATAAATTATTCTGGTAATAGTTTACTACGTTTTCTAAGAAACTTCCACAGTAGCTACCTATTTTCAACAACCAGAAGTGTGGACACAGATGTTTAAAACATTACATTTGAATAGAAATATTATTAGACCATAAAGTAAATTTCCAGACGTTGTTTAATAACCCCTAAAATTTTCAAATAGTTTTTATTTTTAGTGCAGTATAAGAATAGAAATCACACCTGAATATAGTTTTGAAATCTTTGCCTGTGATTTTCAGCAATAGCTATTTGTTTACCCCCATTCCCGCATTTATGTGGCATGAAAACTTAGTTCTCTTCTAATTATAATAGCCAAACACAGACATTCCATTTGACAGTTTTTAAATCCATATGAAAATTTCATGTTAGCTTATTGAGCAACTACATATACAGGCCTGAAATATGACAGAAAACACTTCGAGTACATTCAAAATCAGACAGAAGACTCCAAAAGTTACTGCATTTTAACTCTAGTAACACACTCACAATTGTAACACAGGAAAGATTTGCTATTTTAATTAAGATTTAAGCCCATTATCAAGAATGAAAGATGTGTGCATTTAAAGTTTTGATAAACATTGTCAAATTGTCAATTTAATTAACACTTAAATGAAAAGCAAGAGTGCCATTTTACTTATACCCTTGTAAAATATAAGATTTATGAGCTTGAAAATCTTCATATTTTCTGGGCATTTATAGTTGTTCTATGAACTATACAGAACTTTCAATGGTTTTATTTTTCCATTTGCCTATGAGTATTCTTTTTCTTATAATTTATAAATTATCTTTTTGTATTAAAAATTAACTACTTGTCATGTGTTACAAATATATTTACCCATTTTGATCTTGTGGTTTTATGCCGCAGCACTTCATCAAAACTTAACCAGGCGATTTACAACTCTGCTTTAGCTTTCAATTCTTGCTTCTTCAGAGCCCGCAGGCTAGACCGAAGTAAGTAATCAGTTTTCTCAGGGCTTTTCTGAGCATGTATCAAGCCCAGAATATGCATATGACCTTCTTGATCCCCCAGTCTACACAAGAGCACTTAAAAGGCCATATCACTCATATATCTCTTTTCCCAACCTCTTCTAGCCCATAATTTATAGTCTGTCTAGTGTATGTCCCAATTTATAACCCACTCAACTCCAGTGGATGATGATTTTGCTTTGCATGCTTTCAAGCTTCTAGGGAGAAATCCACTCCAGCTGTGAGAATGCTCCAAACTGAGTGAAATGAAAGTACAGCTCTTATAGGAACTGTCAAACAGGTCAAAACACACAGTCACATCTTTAAGAACAAATTCTGCATTGCTCCCTTTGGTACTAGCAATCTCAGCAAGTGTGTGAGCTGCCATCTTCCTGGCTGGCTATTATCTGAGGAATAACTGGTAGGCAGACAATTTAAAACACAAGATCTTACCACACTGCAGCAATTTTTCATTAATCTTTCTCCTTATTCTAAGTTGTGTCTGGATTCCTGAGTTTGGAAAATGTTGATTCTGAGAGTTTTTGCCATTTTATAAGATGCTTTGTAGAAAAATATATCTCTGCTGTTTTGATTGATGACATTCATCTGATCCAGTTTTGATAAAGCTGCTTGAGACTATTCAAAGCTATTTTAGTTAATAAAGCTACTTCAAAGGAAATGCACTTCAAAAAAAGCTTCAGTTACATACATATATGCATATGTGTGTGTGGATATATGTTCTATTGCTTTGTGGTTCAAGATTTTGTAAAAAAAAATGGTGATTGAATTTTAAAATAGAAAAAATTTTCACTTCCATAATGTCTCACAATATGTTTATTTGGAACCTCAATCAATGACCTTGAAAATATGTAGATTTACTTTGTTCCACCAAAAAAATATGACCTTGGAGTACCTTAATTTTATTGATATTATTGGCAATATCTGTTTGATGTGCTTATCTTTATCTGAGAAAGTTACTATATCATATCTTCTGTAAATGCATAAATTTAGTAAATGCCTAAGTTTGGTAAATGATGAATTGGAAGGAAGAAGGAGAAGATGATGAATAGTGTTAATACTGTAAGAAAAATCATCAGAGTATGTAGTTCTAAATTCAAGTAAATATTTAACTATTTTACAATACCATCTGGTTGTTTTTTATTTTTCTTTTTTTTACTTTTTGATGATATTATAAAAGCAGTAGCTGAACTGGATAGAGTATATATTTTTGGTATCTTCGATATCTGTAATTTGGGTAACAACAATGTAAAACTATACTTACAAAAAATTTATAGTCCAGAAACATACTTCTTAAAATTCATAAATTAAATTATTACACTTCATAAAGAGGACACTAAGGATATTCTATTATTTTGTTCACATTTTCAGTAACTGTATTCAGCAAAAATATTACAGAAGCACTACACCTAAGTACTTTTATGTTTATTCTATATTTGAAGATAACACACTTTACATTAGACTCATTATTGAAAAAGGTCATGAAAACAATTTGGTACATCAAAAAGTTACCTTACTTCTAAATGATTATTATTTTGGATTGTAATAATTTTCCTTCTCTGTTCATTTGTGAAGTACACTTTTATTCTGAAGTCTCAGTATAAGGCATCCTGATATACAAGAATAATTTTTCATGGAGACTGAGCATCTTTCCAATTTTATTCATATATAATGGCAAATTATGAATTTATATGTAGAAGACTAAAGTTTCATTCCCCTAAAGTGGTCAAACTGCATTTCTTACAACCAAAGCAGTTTCTATCATTTCCAAAAGCACAAGTGGATTGTTATGATCCAGTGGCCCCCAGTTCTTTAAGTATGGTCACCTGTAAAATGAATGTGCTGAATTCAAATTTCTTAAAGTTTTTCTAAACCATATTATGATTTCATATGGGTTGAATTGCTAAAATTTTTGACCAATGTGCCATATTAAGTCCTGAAGGTGCACTATGTCTATATTATTGCTGCATTTGTTTCTAATTCCAGTATGTGCAAATTTAGATGAAATATTATCTTGTGCTAACATCTTAAGTGCTCATATTGAAAGTAGAAAACAGTAACAAGGGAGTTGATTTAATTTTGGTTGCCTATTAGATTTTATTTAAATGTAAATAGCCACTCCATATTTGGGATGTTCAGTGGTTGACATCTAGATGTTAGATGAGCCAAAATGACCATCATTTGAAACTAAAGATTATTCTGTATCAAGAAGAGTGTAATTGTAGTAATGTTATTAATTTATGATTGTGCTTGTAGCCTTATACTGCTGTGGCTTCATATTCTATACACTTTAAAAGTGTTGTGTTAAAAATGGAAATAAAGTGTTTGTAAATGGGGGTTGGAGGGGGTGAAGGGAGGGCAGGAGTAAGTGGAAAAAATGAGAACTAAGACCTGGCATATAAAGTTACAAGATTCCAATAATGAATGTAACTGTACTGTATACCTAAAATGTACCAATAAACTCAACGAGGAAAAAAAGTGTTGGGTTGTCTGTGAACTTAAAGACATGCTACAATTTGCTACATTGCTAATATGAACAGTAAAGAGACAGAGATAAAGACTTCCTTGTAAAATGTGGACACAAAAAGAGATACTGGGTGCACAGAGAAGATGGAACATATGGGCCCAGAAAGGGAACCATTTGCATCTAAGGGGAGAGAATGCAGAAGAAGCAAATTGACAACACTTTAAAATTAAACTTCATGAACTGAACTTAAATGCTTTCAGTCTTTCATTCTTATAACTAGTTTAAAGGTTAATTAAAATAGTGAATCTTTCTTGTTACATTTTTTTTTTGAGACAGGGCCTTGCTCTGTAGTTCAGGCTATCCTTAAGCTCACTGTATTGCCAGGCTGACCTTGAACTTGTGGCAATCTTCCTGCCTCAGCTTCCTGAGTGCTGAGTGCTTGGATTACAGATGTACACCACCGTGCCTAGCTTTGCATGTTACAATTTTGAATGTATTATTAAAATTTAAATGCAATAACTTTAGGAGTCTCTTGTCAGATTTTGACTGTGCTCGGTGTGTTTCCTTTCATAATTTGGGGCTATGAATATACTTGCTAAGTGCGGCAAGATGAATTTTCCATGTAGATTTGAAAACTGTTGTTTATCAAATGGAATCTGGATTTTTGCATTTGGCTATTATAGCTTTTAAAAAGACAACCAAGAAGGAGAGCCACGCCTTCTCCTGCCCCAGCTGCCATTGCTCCAGCACCAGGAAGGTAGCTGCAGGGGCACCCCTGAACCCCCATAACCCCCACACACGCACTCTCAGACCTCCTACTTGTATCAGTCTTTGGACCCACTCTGAAGAGGCAGAGGTTGTCATAAAGGGTATTTTTCTGAGTTCCCAACTTTGAACATCTTTAAAGAAAGGGCATGGGAAACCTGTAGTAGAACGGTGTGGAGTTCAACTGTTCAGAAAGTTGGGGAACTCAATCTGGGCCTTGCAGCCTGAGGTCAGTCTGCGTTATGGGGTTCAGCCATCAGCTAACTGAGAGCAGGGGTCTTGTGTCCTAGCTCTGTCTGAGCCATTAAAAGGTAAATATACTATAATGAAAAGTTTGTTCACTGCAGACAGGTTCTGGACAGCTTCTTGATTTCAATTTAATTCAAGGGTGATAGACTAGTGACTACCACAGGTGGTCAGTTCCCAAGTTGTGCTTGATCATATTGTGTTGCTGATTGTATCAGTTGGGATAAAGGATTGTGGTTGATTTGATGAGCTGTTTTCTCTGATGTTATGAAGATGAGAATGTCTGTGGGTCATTAGAGACCCGGAAGCTAGGGCACAACTATATCAGGAAGATTTGGGTGATAACCCAGAAAAAAACCAAGGACAGACTGACAACAAAAATAAAAATGAGAAAACACTTAAGCAATACACAAAGACAGACTTCCAGTTCACCAATGGCAACCAGTAGGGCAAATGAGGATGAAAAGGCTAATAGTGAACCACCAGGACACCCTGCACTCAAAGCACAAGAAGTAACAAAAGAGATCAATCAGGCTCTAGAAAAATTCAAAACAGAAATAATTTCCCAGATAACCATAGAGATGATGAGCAAAATGAAAGTCATGATTTGAGACTCTAGAGCAGAAACTGACAAAAAAAATAGATGAGCTCAGGACCACGATAGAAGCCATAAAGGCCCAGCATAAGAAAGAAATGGAAACAATAAATGACCAACATAGGAAAGAAATGGAACCCATACAACACATTCAAACAGATATCCAGGAGATTAAACACTCCATTGAAAGTGTACACAACACAATAAAAGAATGCGAAGATAGACTCTCAGATATAGAAGATAAGATTGCAGTCAGTGACCATGAAAAGAGAGGTCTCTTAAAAACAGTAGGGGATCATAAGAAATAGATCCAACAACTCCTAGATGATACAAAGAAGAATAACTTAAGACTGATAGGAATCCATGAAGTAGCAGGAGAAAATGCAAATGACTTTAAAAAGCTGTTCACAAAATTAAAGACAGAAAACTTCCCAAACAGAGGTTAAGAATTTGAAATTCAGATAATTGAGGCATATAGGACCCCAACTAGCCACAATCAAAAAAATCTACACCTAGACATATAATAATCAAGATGCCAGAAACCCAACAGAAGAACAAAATACTACAAGCAGTAAGAAAAAATAAACAAATCACATGGAAAGGAAAGCCCATCAGAATCACAGCAGACTTTTTAACACAAACCCTTAGGGCAAGGAGAGCCTGAAGTGAGATATTTCAAGTACTAAAAGAGAACAACCTCCAACCTAGATTGATGTATCCAGCAAAACTCTCTTTCAAAATGGATGGGAAAATAAGATACTTTCACAACAAGGAACACCTGAGAAACTCCATGAATACCAAACCAACAATACAAGCAATTCTAAACAAGATCCTAGAAAAAGACAATGAAGGCAACAACACCATGAGGCCCAACAGAGCAAATCAAATGGGCAAGGCAATAAACTAAAAGAAGGTGAAAAAGTAAAAAGAGTCAACAAAAGGCCAATAATATAACAATAATAAATCAGTACATATCAGTTATAACCATCAATGTCAATGGCCTCAACTCAGCAATCAAGAGAAATAGACTGGCAAAATGGAAAAAGAAGTAAAATCCAACAATATGTTGTATACAAGAAACACACCTAGTGCAAAAAGAAGCCCATAGACTGAAAGTGAAAGGATGGAAAACAATCCTCCATGTGACAGGAGCCCAAAAAAAAGCAGGAGTAGCAATCTTATTTGCAGACAAAGCAAATTTCAAATCAAAACTGATTCTAGTATCATTGATGTATGAAGGTACTGTACCATACCTCTGTGAATGTAAAATATTTTGTACCTGCTTTATGATACATAGTAGTGTTCGTGCTTTATCAGAGCTATTTTTAATGATATAACTCTAGAATGTTCTTTCCAGATAATGATTAAGATGCTAAAAAAAAATGGTGCCAGGTACCACAACAGCAACAGAACTTTGCTGTTTTCTGGATATTATTCTTTTCTTTGTTTTTTTGTTTTTGTTTTTTTAATGGAATGTGCTGAATATCTATAATTTTGTTCAGATGACTGCAGAACCTGGTAAAGCTGTTGCTGCTACTGATGCATAACATACTGCTATTATTGGTCTTTTTATATAAATATAAATATATATATACATATCTATATAAATATAAATATATATATATATACATATATATAATCTGAATTTTTGGAAACTTTAACTGTGCGGTCAACTTTGGAAAAAGTTATCCCAATTTACTGTGTTGAGTTGTCATTGTACAGAAATTGACAGCCATATTGGTCTAGAAATGTTAATTTCGTTTAATTTTTATTTTTATTTTTATTTTTGTCTTTTTTTCCATTTGTACAGGGGTAACACACCTTATTAAATATGTAAGGTCATATCTACTTGGGTTTGATTACAGAAACTAAAAAAGTATTCTCTAAATGAAAAAAAGAATAAGACTACAAGAGCAAGAAGCAATTTAAATATGTTCAGGGACCATTTTCATCTTCAGAATTAAGGATTATTTTAATCTTACATCATTGCCTTTTCTCTTTTACTTTCCTTTCTAGTTTTATTTTAGGATTCCCTATTTTTAATGTTCATACAGAGATTTCTTAAACTGAAATACGGAATAGTGTCTCTGGTGTGAAAAACTATAATAGTACACAGGATTCTAATGAGATAATTAATAATGTGAAATAGGAAGTAAAGCGCTAAAGGTGTGGGGAAAGTGGGAAGGGTGGGGGAAAGGTAACAAGGGAGAGGAAATAATATGAGAAATTGAAAATAAA